CAACATACATAAAGGAAAAAGCAAAATTCTCCGATGCAACACAACATGCACCAACCAAATCACTCTTGATCAAGATGCCTTGGAAGACGTTAACACCTTTACATATCTGGGCAGCATCATCGACAATCAAGGTGGATCCGATGCAGATGTGTGGGCGCGGATTGGCAAAGCAAGGGCTGCGTTTCTACAGTTGAAAAATATCTGGAACTCCAAACAACTTTCAACCAAAACCAAAATCAGGATTTTCAGTAAAAATGTTTGTATATATATATATGTATACATAAATGACCAATTATGTATATGATTCAGTAACCGAAATACAAGTTTTCTTTCAATCTTGTCTTTTCCCGGAATAGGCCAGTTTATAAGGTTAACGTGTATCATGTTCACGTTTCGCACATTCTCATATTGTAACAATTAAATCATACAGTTCATTTCCCGTTAATATCAAAATCTAATACACATTTATTCGTTTATAAACTAATCAATCTACCGAGTGTCTGCCAATCAGCAATGATGTGATTAAACTTTCTATGAAGAAGAGAATATAATTGGTTAAAAATGTTAACCAATGAAAAAACACTAGATTGATTAGAATGACAGTAATAATGGCATTCATCAATATGGAATCCTTATCACAAAATTTATAATTCAACATGTTTCTTTTTGCCAAACATTTGATGATAGGCATTTGGAAGTAAGCAGTTTGGAAATCGAAAAAAGTGATTCAAAGGAAAACATTAATGTTAAACTGTTAATGTGGAGTTTAATCAAAAGAAGGCCTGTATGCCAAAATTGTAATCAGATTTAAGCGCTTCCAGGTTTCTAATAACAGTTAGTCTAACATTGATCAATTCATACTGTCAATGAAACTCAACAATCTCCACAACCTTATAATAACTTGCTTTATGAGGGGATTTCTCTGAGTCCGAATGCTAAGCAATGAACAGTGGATTTTCACTGTGTTAGATGTCATGTAGTAGTTACTGACCAAAACACAATTGATGATGGGCACGTAATATCGTTAGTTGAGTGATGTTCGACATTAGCATCTGTGAATGTAGGTTTATAGTTAGAGAGAGAGCTTAAGTGTTCATTTGCGAATCCAAAAACTCCTGTCTTCAATTCTCGGTCGTGACGGTATTGGATGCACATTGCTGAGGTGTTCAATACTAGTGTGATGCGCGCTACTTATAAGTAGTATATGATGCGAGTGTAAACGTAATGTCTGGCAGCAGAAGATGGGGGAAGATCAAGAAAGGAAGAGTGGGAATACAATGGAATTTGTATGAAACTCATGAATAGTAGTGAAATGTCAGACAATGGATTGATGATAGATTGAAGATTTGTAAATTAACCATTTACGATATGGTTTTCCTATTTTACTGAGTAACTCTGTAATTTGAGATAAATACAATTCGGTTGCCCTCACTTGTGTTCTTCTCCTTCATTACACTAGGATGAAATAGCAGTCCGGTATTTCCAGACTGCTAACGTTGTTCTCACATTGATCGATCCGTGATCTCAATAAAACTTAATTTCTATAGCCCTATATATTTTTTTTCCAAAAGCATTAAGATTTTTAAGACGATAAAAAGTCTTACAACTTTACAGTAGATGATAATAATCGATGGTTAGAGACCTTGAATGACATGGCTCAAAATTGTTCGCAATGGCGCCGGTGCATTTATTCTTTGTGTTCTCTGAAATCCTAATCTTCTGGGTTCTTCAACAACTCTAGTTCTGACTTTCTAAACTTTTCTCATTAAATCATACTTCTTGAATAATATCTTCTAATCCTAACCTCTCCGATTACTCCTAATACCTTGACTACCTCTACTACTATTGGATTTGAATTGACAGTTACATCTCTGTGCTGATGTGGTATGGCGATATGAACTGATGTACTTACGTACGAAGTTCTACGTCGCATCTGACTGACTGACAGTAGATTTTAGAATTCTAAAAATATAATAGGTAACTAGTCTGTGGGTTGTTTCTCTATCGAAAAGAGCATCATTCATTATTCACTCACTGATCAATATTAAAATAAGAATATGAGGAATGTGATTTCATTGTTAGTTTTGTAATATTACGCAAAAAATTATCTCTATCAATCAATCAATATATTGATTACTTATCTTATCGTATTGCTTTATCGATTCGTTATTGAAAACCTAATTGTTTACGAGTTAAAGTTAGAAATTAGCAAGGTTGAGAGAAAAATAATCACTATATTGTAGTGAACGAGAACACAGGTGGGGCTACCGAATTGTATTTAACGAAAATTACAGAGTTACTCAGTAAAATAGGAAAACCATATCGTAAATCGTTCATTTGCAAAATATCAGTTCATCATATCGAACTGGACTGTTCCTGTTGCAAAACATCAATCCATTGTCACTATTCATGCGCTTAATACAAATTCTATTGTGTTCTGACTCTTCCTTTCTTGATTTCCCACCATTTTCTGCTGCCAGACATTACGTTTACACTCACGTTATATACTACTTTTAAGTAGCTCACACCACAATATCAGCCTATTTACTGAATTGTGCATAAAGTCACAAGGTAATTCATATGTCATACTGAACATGAGACTAATCAGTACATGTTGATCAAGTATCATACTGTTAAGTCGTCTATTTAACAGGCCTAATCCGATATGCTACTCTGGCACTGGAACGATTAAAATTACGCCGCCACCCAGATCGTAAATCAAAAACGGAAGGTAATAGAAATAATATTTATTTCAGTAACTGTTGAAATGTATAGCACAGTCATGTGTATGCATATCACTCTAATCATTCAATCTGCAAACAGTATTGTTCAAATTATTTATGTCATTCGATATTCAAAGCAATTCTCTTTGGTTGTGACTGGATAGAATCTCTTCAGCTTCTTTGGTAGATGTTGCAGGCTTCAATATACTTGTCATGCAAAACATCTGGAATTGTACAAATATTAAACAGGCTTCAAGTTTATCACAAATGGTAGTTACTATTGAATTCATTACTCTTTGTCACTAGGTATGCTTGAAGCTATTACGAGTTCACCTTAGTCAATAAACGCGAACGAGACAATTACCAGCATCCAGATAGGCTACCTTGAATCCCAAGCTGTAAACAGAGGTCTTTGTAAGCGTAGAAAGTATATTCTACAAACACCCAGCAATCACACAACACAATCAAGCATACAACTCTCGTTTATTTTCTACATCATAGAAACGTCCTTGGGACAGTTACGAAAATAGCACACTAAAATACACAGCAGCCAATCACAGCCATGGATTTTTTTCGGTGTGAATTGAAATCTCAAGGTCAACTGATCAGCCCATGCTCGCAAATGGGAAATCCAAAATAAGGCATTTATCAAGTGAGTTCTGGGGATCTAACATCCCCAACAATATTACTAATCGATATAATTCAGAGACGTGTTGAGACCCTGAAACTTGTGAATAGATGTACCGATCTGGTGTTCAATATTCAATAATCCTTATTGTTTCTGACTTCAGATAGATGCGTTAAGAAATAAAATTCTATCAGCTTGGAATGAAACGGTAAGTTGGAAACTTCATAAACATTTGTGTGTAGCAAAGGTACCATTGGACAGCATAGATGTCGTAGATAGATTCGAATATCTGTGTATCTTGTTCACTCACCTCAGGATCACCAGTCAATCGATGCTGGTTGATTAAAGGAAACAGTTAGATTAAATCAATGATACTCTCATGGAAACCTATGCAGTGGATGCTCATTTTAAGTTGGGTACACACTCCAGAAATGCTAGTACAGGTAGGTATTGATAAGGTTTTAACAATGAAACTTTTCTAGGAATAACTACAGTTATTAATATACACACTATAAAAATACCATTATGTTATGTATGCATAAGAATTTCGGTGGAAAATATTAGAAAAGTTTAACTTACAATGTCATTTTAGTTGTTCATTGTTTTGAAGATTGTATCCTTTACAATTAATATTGTAGTGAAAGAGAACACAGGTGGGGCTACCGAATTGTATTTAACGAAAATTACAGAGTTACTCAGTAAAACATGAAAACCATATCGTAAATTGTTCATTTGTAAAATATCAGTTCATCATATCGAACTGGACTGTTCCTGTTGCAAAACATCAATCCATTGTCACTGTTCATGCGTTTCATACAAATTCCATTATGTCCTAACTGTTCCTTGCTTGATGTTCCCCCATCTTCTGCTGCCAGACATTACGTTTACACTCATGTCATACACTACTTATAAGTAGCGCGCACCACTATATGAGAAGTATGGCATGTGATTGCGATCAAATCGTTGGGTGTTGGTTCAATGGTCAATACAGTTAAGCATCCATGCATATGACCCCCAAAAAGATTCTATGTTCAAATCCAACTTATTATTGCGTAATCGCAAAACGGGAATTCCATTCCTCCTAAGTAGTTTTCTCAGCCATAATCTACACTTAACATACACCAATTAGTAGTTTTCAATTAAAATAAAACTTATATACTTATACTATTTATTCTATTCGTAAAATTGAATTTAAATGTAATAATTTTTTTTTCAATTAACCAATCAATTTCGATGCATTTTCAACATACTACTTAATTTGCAATAATAATTAGTCACGCAATGTAATGTTATGCATTAAAAGACAATATATACGTGACTGACTTGATGTTGTTTATGAGTAGTTTTTTTAATTACAACAAAAAAAAATCAAGGAAATTTAGTGAAAAGCAAATTTTGGCGTATATAAATACAGCAGGGTTGGTTAATTGATGATTGTTTGATATATAGTGAGTGTATTCATTATTGATAGATATTTCGAGACATATCGAGAGAACGAAAACACAACTAACTCCTTTTTGAGTATTGTCGAAATTTGGTTTTGTTTTTCTCCGGTCTTTTGATTTAAAAAATATCACATTATTGAAGTGGCAATCTCCCCGCCGTCCGCCCGCCCGCCAAATTCAAAAACAAACATTATTCATTGATCAATGGATATTTTACCGCCACTAATGAATGAGAAACAAATTCAAACAGATGATGTGACTATTCGAACGCAATGCATACAATTAATCAAATTTATATTTTTCAATCAAAATTGGTTGAATAAAAGAAAAGGTAATTTAGATTTGGTTGTGTTATTTATATATGTTTGTTTTTACACATTTAAAATCATCAATGAATCCTTGTTATACCACCATTAGAAACTTGGAAGCACTGAACGGCCGTTTCGTCCTGGTATGAGACTCATCAGTGACAGTGCGCATCCACGACTCCTGCACCTTACAGGATTCGAACCCGTGACCTTCGGTATTGTGTGCGAAAGCTTAACCATCGGACGACTGAGCCGGCTTCTAACGGTGTTAATGTCCAACTCTGATTGATCTGGAGATTTTGCTTGACCTCACCCATTTGTCTTTGGTAGTTACTGGCTACACCCGACAGGGTTGTACTCCATTGGTCATGTCTTCCTACTAGAACTCCGATAATTTCCTCACGAAGTTAGTCACTTGTGAGCACAGTTACGATATTTTCAGTTAGAGTTTTTCGAGATTTGTGTTTTTTTCTCAGCGCTTCCAGGTTTCTAATGGTGGTCTAACAATGATTAATTAATGATTTCAAATTTATTGTTATGTTGGCTTGCGTTCCCAAATCTGATTGTGACATGTGCTAACTTTAGTGAACTTGTTGCTCTATCGAGAAGGAAAAAGCAGAAGAGAAAGTCTATTTGACTGTTGAATAATCCATGAAAATACCCGTCTCATTCTCTGTCTCTGCATATATATATATATATCCCACCTCCTTAGAAAAGGAAGTCATTTCGTAGCCAATGATATGTATTTGTCCTTTAGGACATTTTCTGATGGTCATCAAATGACCTTCCGATTCGGTCGCTTCTGATTGGCCCATTTATTGTGTGCACTAAGATGTGATTTTTTTTATGACAGGGAATTTTAATTATCATTCACTTATGCTCAGCTTTGTTTGAAAAATGAAATATATCGTAGACGTGTGGATGAATGTTATACAGTTTTATCAGAAATTCAACTTAGATTCATTGTTTAACTACGATTGTGATACAAAAGAGCGCCAATTATAAAAATCAAAAAAAATTGAAGTAAATTTATCAGTGACAACTAGAACACTTAGTATGATACAGAGTAAAAAAGAAGTTAATGGAATACTTTGAACTGACAGCTAATTTTAAACTAAATTTTCGCATACATAGTTATTTAGTGCGAATAAGTAATAGTAAAATATGCATAAACTAGAATCCTGAAATGCTCTGGTACAAATGAGAATGAATAGTCAACTCTCTTTCTTTCCAAACACTCTCATATGATCATGCGTACATATTCAATGTTAGGCGAATCATACTCATTGACTTCTCATAACTACAGAGTTGTTTATGGAGTTGAAAAATAAACACATGGCGCTTAAATCGGCGTAACGGATAAGGAAGATTCACCTAGGGGAGTTAATAAACCTTGATCCACAGCATATTGCTAGAACGATAAAGTACGGGCCTACATCGGGAACCATAGGACTGTACCCTATAACATAACCCCACTTTTTTTCTGAATTAAGCCTATAACTCAAATGCATCTATACATCTAAGTTCCTTAGTTTACAACCAAAAACAAATAACTGAAAATTATTTGAAAAAAACTAATTATCATTCTTCTATTAACTATTGAATTTTTAACAAAAAAACTAGTTAATCCCATGAATTGAACATAGAATTAACTAACTATAATCACTTGTTTTATTCGTTCAATTTTCTGTTTTGTTGTTATATCACATGAAATTTCAATCGTCAATTGAAATTTTTTGAAAGATCATACGAGAAAAGTATGTGAAGATAAATTGTTCAGATGATAATTAGATATTTTTTTTGTATTTGAAGAATTAAGGAAACAAAATGGTGAATGTTTGTTTTGTTCATGACTTAAAATTTGGAAAGCGAATTGAATATTGATATTTTGAATTCAATGTCCAATGGTTTGCGTTATGCTGTTGTGAAAGAAACTTAATCAATCTTGGATCGCTTCGATATAGTCGTTTATGATACAGGTTCAGATATAGAAGAGATATGAACGTGGGTCTCAGTGGAATCCATGACTTCCGTTTTGTCATTGTTGACTTCGAGACTCTAATCTAATAACGTTCAATTCAAACACTATTGTGTTATCCATCTTGCTTCTGAATTGATTTAGACATCCACTTTTATGTAATCAGTTTTCAAACCGGTTTGGATTAAAACGTTATTGAAATTTTGACTAAAATCTAATCTATCTTCGTACATTTAACTGACTAGTTTATTCAATGATTAATTAAAAACATGTCATTAAAATCATAATTTTTATGTTTTTATGAAATTGAATGATACACTTAAATCATTGACCTACAATTTTGACAGTACTCAGTAAGGAATAAAACTCCTGATGTCCTGATGTCCTCTTTCTCAGTATCATTGATGTAACTATTAGGAAATTATTTTCTCAAACTTGAACCTAATTAATTTGTTGAAAGGATGAAAAGATCATTGTTAGACCATCATTAGAAACCTGGAACAACCCATGCTCACATGAATCGATTAATGACAACCATGCGAATCTCCTCACTAATGACTAGCTTTATGAGGAAACTCTCATAGTTCTAATGAGAAGTCGTAAACAGTAGTGTTCAACACTGTTGGGTGTAGGCAGTTACCTATCAAAGACATTGTGTGGGGTTGCGCAATACCTTGCGTTGATCTAACTTAGATATTAACACTGTTGTATGTTAGCTACAAGTGTTTATTAACAGCTGTCTACGCAAAATACTTCGAATTTGTTTGCCAGACACGATCAGCAACAACATACTGTGGGAGAAAACAAATCAGACAGATTCCAGTGGAGGAGGAAATCAGGAAGAAGCGGTGGAAGTGGATAGGACACACATTGCGGAAAGTACCTAACTGCGTCACAAGACAAGCCCTCACATGGAACCCTCAAGGCAAAAGTAAAAGGGGAAGGCCAAAGAACACACTAGGCCGAGAAATAGAGAAAGATATGAGAGGAATGAACAAACATTGAACAGAACTGGAGAAGGAAGCCCAGGACAGAGTTGGTTGGAGAAAACTGGTGGGCGGCCTATGCTCCATTGGGGGTAACAGGCGTAAGTAAGTAGGTAAGTAAGTGCATAAGTAAGTAAGTGCATAAGTAAGTGCATAAGTAAGTGCATAAGTAAGTAAGTAAGTAAGTAAGTATGTTAGCTCCGTAGTCTACAGGTAAAGCGTTTGTACGCAAGACTAACACCCGTCAGTTTGATTCTCATTCAATTCTTCCAGGTATCTATCTATCTATCTAATGGTGATATCACAGTGATCTTATCATGATTTCAATGAAACTCAACAATCTTTACAACTATAAAATAAAAATCACATAATTTAACATATCCTAATTTTTTTTTCACTGGTATATTTCTTTCGGTTTCATCTCATTCAAGTGAAAACTATACGTCATTTATTGAAAACTTACTGTTGTACATCATTGCACAATATTGTATCATCTATACTGATAGACAAAGCATTACTTGTACAACAATCATGTGCTCAACTCTTATCATCATCAGCATCCTCGTCATCAGCATCCATATCAAATGATTTATTGATTATTGGTGCCGGACAAATGAGAACTGGTACAACTAGTTTAAAATATGCACTACAATTGTTATTTAATCAATCATGTTATCATATGTGTGATATTATTTATCAATTTCATGAAAGACATATTCTAAAATGGATTAATTTATTTCAAATGTATGACAGATGTATACCAATTGAAAAATATCATTGGAATGATATTTATCATCAATGTCAATTTGCTGTAGATTATCCAACTTGTGTATTTTATAAAGAATTAATGAATACGTATCCAAATGCTAAGGTAAATTGATAGAATTTCTCTATATATCACTCTCTCTCTCTCTGTGTGTGTCTCTTTTATCAGCTTGTCTGTTTTATACATCTCTCTGTTACGCCTGCATGTAAACACGTCATTTTGATATACATGAACTGTTACGAGTTTATCTAGTTGGAAAACAAGAGTGAGGGTCGAGGATCCAGCGACACGACATGCTACTCAAATCCGATTACCTCAACCCGCATATTAAGTAAAAATAATAAGACTTGATATGAAGTAGAACCTGTATTCTACAAGCATCCAGAAAGTATGTGGTCCGAATCCAGAAGAGAATCAGGATCCCGGAATAGGGATCCGGAACCGGGTCCCGGTCGAGGTCCTGGTCATAAAACGTTACAGATAATGCGTATTTATACATTTTGGTCGAATAGGAAACAGCATCGAATTCTGTAACATCGACAGTTAAGACGACCAATAGGAAGCATCATTTGAAGTGACATTGATAGTCAGAACAACCAATGAGAAACAACATTGGAGCACGTGACATTGATATCTAAGACGACTATAAAATTGACCAGTAGGAATTAAACAATAGGAATTGACAAATAATTATCTCAGGATATTGGATGAATATCCTATATTTTTTGATTAGTCAGCGTTTCCTGATTGGCTGATTAGATCACTCAAGGTCATCAGTATGTTATATTTTCAGAGTGGTAGACTGACATGCAGAGACATCTTATTAATAGCGAAAAATTGAATGATTGAAACATTAAAACACCATAATACTTTTTCAATATTAAAGATTAATTAAGAAACCGAATGACCTTGAAATTGAATTCACTACCTGATTATAGGTGTCAAGTATTACATAGTCTGACTTTTGAATTTTGATCATATTTTAGGATTCAATCCACAGACCTATTAAAATAATCATTCTTGCAACATGTTGATCATTTAATGTTGTAATGAACGAAAACGTCAAGACAAAAAGGATAAGAAATGTGTTTAAGAAATAGACAGTTTTACTAACAAAATGTCCCATTTAGAAGACTAGTAGATTACCAATTATCCTCTATCACATGTCTTCAGACAATCTTCTCTCCCTAATAGTAAGTTATGTATGAGTGACAGTCCAATGTAAAAATTACTTCTTGAAAGCGGCCTCAGACGATTTGTTTGGTGAAGCAGCCGTAAAGATCCTGGACTATTGACGTCGACCCTATGTGGTTGTCCTGATTGAGTTCATGACATCTATCCCATGTGAGGGTGTACGTTCCGGCTGACGTTGTGGGGCAAACTCGATCTATAGCTTCATGTGGGGTTTGGAGGATTCAGTCGATTGCATTGACGCAAGGCAGTTGGAGGCCAGACGGTTGGAAAGGCTACTGGTTAGAACACTGCTGGGTGGCTCGGTAATCCGTTCGGGGTCCCAGGTCTAGCTGTGGAAGCCCGCCTTGCCGCCCTTACCGATATGGGACTTTGGGTAGTGCAGCGAAGATAAATGATTCAGTGACACAATAGGCTACTCTAATCCAAGCGTCTCACTACGTAGCGGGAGAAGTTTTGATATGGCATAGAAAGTGTATTCTACAAGCACCTAGAAAATCCAGTTCGACAAGCACACAAATCAAGTTTATTTATACATGATAGAAACGTCCTGAGGAGAGCCACAAAATTAGCGTACTAAAATAAAAAAATCAATCATTAATAGTCAAGGATTTTCCGGGTGAGAAATGTGATCCCAAGATCAGCTGATCAGCCAATTCACGAAAATATAACATCCCCAACAGTTCTCACAATTTAATACAAGATTAAAAAATTTTATCATGAAGTTTCGTTACTGAAACTGCTTTTTCAGACAGTTGAGTTAAAATCAATTATGTTTCATAGTTGAAATGAGGAATTGATCTTAGTCGGACTACACTTAGAAACCTAGAAACAGTAGATGGGCGTCTTGTACAAGTATGGGATTCTTTAACAGTGCTCATCCACAACAGTCGTATGCAAGAATCTGACCCAAGACTTTCAATCTCATATGCTGACATCTATTCTCTAAACCTGGATGTTACTGTTAGCCATTTTGTGTTTATTCAGTATAAATATGTGTCATAGTGACTATATCGAGGCAATCTACATAGGATACTCATATACCAACTAATATTGATCGAAAATTTCAGTCGGAAATACCAAAAACTGGATAATGCAAACCATTTTGGATTGAATCAATAATCATCAAGTTGCGAAAATTAAGCTAAAAACCTTGTATTTATACATTTTATTGGCCAAAATGATTAGAGAATTGTACAATTATATTGCATTATTTAGTTATAATTGCTTGTATAACTGCTAGGGATACTGTGGTGCTGTGGTGCGAACTACTTATAAGTAGTATATAACGTGAGTGTCAACGTAAAGTCTGGTAGCATAATATGGGGGGAAGATCAAGAAAGGAAGAGTTAGAAAACAATGGAATATGTATCAAACGCATGAATAGTGACAATGGATTGATGTTCGGCAACAGGAACAGTCCAGTTCGATATGATGAACTGATATTTTGCAAATGAACGATTTACGATATGGTTTTCCGATTTTACTGAGTAACTCTGTAATTTTCCGTTAAATACAATTCGGTTGCCCCCACCTGCGTTCTCATTCACTACAATACTACCCTTAACTCAGGTCGCATATGGTCGAAAAATGAAACTTTCATTATTGCAAAAAAATTCACATTACCCGACATGAGACAAGAGGTAATTAGAGTGTTTGAGCCCATTAGCAACAACCTCGACTGCAGCTCTTGCTATCCTATGCCATACTATGTGTGCATACCATATGTTATACTGCTGCTATATACAGTTGTAAGTTTCCTATGAGACCAGATGTTCTCTATGATGAACATTATGGATGGTTTGGCATTGCTTTGGCAAGTATTGCTAACAGTCCACAAACAAAATTGGTTAGCAGGGTACTACTGGTGGCTGTTTTGCAACATTCATTGGGACACGCTGTATTACATATCACCATTACTGATAATAATGAGTTTGACAGTCATATAAGCAGGATGGGTTAAATTGGCCTGTTCATGTGGTGCTGTTAGGATATTCATCCAATATCCTAAGAGAATTATTGCTGAATTCCTATTGGTTAATTCCTACTGGTCAATTTTATAGTCGTCCTAGATATCAATGTCACGTGCTCCAATGTTGTTTCTCATTGGTTGTCCTGACTTCACTTCACTTCAAATGTTACTTCCAATTGGTCGTCTTAACTGTCAATAACACAGAATTCGATGCTGTTTTCTATTCCACCAAAATATATAAATACGCATTATTTGTAACATTTTATGACCAGGACTAGGACCCGGATCCTGATTCTCTTGTGGATTCGGACCTCGTACTTTCTGGATGCTTGTAGAATACAGGTTCTACTTCATATCAAGTCTTGTCTTCTTTTACCCAACATGGGCGTTGGGATAATCGGATTTGAGTAGCATGCCGTGTCGCTGGATCCTCGATCCTCGCTCTCGTTTTCCGACTAGGTAAACTCGTAATAGTTCAAGTATATCAAAATGACGTGTTTACATGCAGGCGTAACAGGTGCATAATGTTTGACACGATCATGGATCGGGAATAATCATTATATATATATATATATATATATATATATATATATATATATATATATATATATATATATATATATATATATATACACGAGATTAGGTCAAACAGTTCGCCCTGAAATGCTAGCACGTGGACAGTCTCCTCGGTTCTCCTGAAAACCAATTTAAAATTGCCCTTAACAATAGACGGTTAATTTATATAATTGTTCAAAATAATATTGTACAACAGTCAAGTAAATAGATATTATTATTTATAACAATAATTATCAACACCCTTATTCTTTACATCTTATCCAACTAGTACGCTATTCTTCATCCAGAGATTGAAACAGGTTTTATTGATTTACTGATTTATCGATTTTTATCTTGTATAGATCATTCTAACAGTTCGTGATGCTGATTCATGGGTATCAAGTTGTCGAGCCACAACTGCCTCTGATATGGTCATGACTAAACACATAACATTCACGGAAAAAATGATTTATCGATTACGTGGTCTAAAAAGTTTACCATTATTACATGACCACATGTATACAAAAGTGTTCGGTACCAATTACGATCGAATGACAAATGATCAGTTGAAAAATGCATTTCTTACATGGAATCAAGAAGTGATTGATTATGTACCAAAAGATCGTTTATTAATATTTAATCCTCAAGATGGATGGAAGCCATTATGTGAATTTTTAAATATACCCATACCGTACAATGTTCCATTTCCTCATTTAAACAAACGACAGGATTTGAGGAATAATCTATTGAAATATCGATTTTTAGCGCAATTTTTAAATTTTTCCTTGATGATATTTGTATTATGTTGTATACATGTATTATTTTGTTATTTCATGTAAGTGTATTGAGTGATGATTTGAAATAATAACAATTGAACTACTTATTTCTATTTGAGTAGCTTTAAGTTGTTGCTGAAAATTGCCATATCAAAATAGAATTGTAATTTTTATTGGTTATTTTGTAAACAGATTCAGTAGTTTGTCTAGGAAACTACTTTCTTCTTTTCACCATCTTCACCGATGATAATATATTTTTTTATTGAGCATGACAATAAATCAAACTTGTCTATTATATCATTCTTATTAGCCTATGTACTTGTGTTACTACTGAACACATGAAACTAGTAGTAACAATTTGGATAGATACAGTGTAGATATTTGGAGAGTGAAACCATCCATATTGATTGAATATCACATCTTACATTGTAAATGGATGGAATTTAGAAAATGTAAACGTTTCAATGAAGGTTTTCAGTTCATATCCCAACAGAGTTGTAGGTAAGCATTGTCAGAGAGTTCAGGGCGAGAAGAAACCAGTTGTAATCAGCTTAATAGTTTCTAATAATACCTTAGTAAAGTCACTCGATAACAATGTCGCTTTCAAATTTGATCAGTTTTCATAAAACTATTTCATCTTATTTATTAAGTCTTGTCAAATCGATATGATATATTGTAAGTGATAGTTTTGATAGTATATGTAAGATAGAGGAGTTTAAAACAAGCAAATTATATATATTTAAGTTATAACGGGCAGTGAATGAGATACAAACGCGATACATGCTAACCCCAACCCCCGGAACAGAGTACATGAAAGAGAATGTAAGAGCTCCTAGATACTATGTACAAATACTGGTCTGTATATATATCCGCCTTAGAAAGTGACTCCATTTCCCGACCAGTAATATACATTTTTGAAGGCTATTAAATAAACTTATCCTACGGCTACTTCTGCGTAGCCCACCATTTCAGTTTCGCTGACAAGAATTCAGGTTATCTAGTCCTACTTCAAATACTGTGATATATCTATAATTCTACGGTATGGGGCAGAAGCTTAGGAAACTAAGAAGTTCATCATTCTGAAGATACAAATGTTTGTTAACAGTTGTTTACGGAAAATACTTTAGATCTGTTGGTCGAACATCATCAGCAAAAACGTACTGAGGGAAAGAAAAAACCAGATTCCAGCGGAGGAAGAAATCAGGAAGAGGCGTAGGAAGTTGATAGGATACACCCTGAGGAAAGCACCTAACTGTGTCATAAAACAAACCCTCACTTGGAACCCTCAATGTCGAAAGAAAAAAGGAAGGCCGAGAAATGGAGAAAGACATGAGAAGAATCAACGAAAATTGGACGGAATCGGGAAGGGATGTCCAGAATAGATTAGGTTGGAGAATATTCGGCGGCGTATGTTCCATTGCGGGTAACATGCATAAATTATTAAGTAGTGTAAGATTACTAGGTTTATATATATCCAATCGTCAGAAGCTTCCCATTAGCCCAAAAATTGTTATCATTCTATTTATGGCCTACTCTGCTCACAGTCACTCTTGGCTCATTAGTGTATAATTGTTATTTTAATATGGCCATGTATATCCGTTCTTAAACCATGTATGTTTGAAATGTAGTTCCAGTAGTGGAAACTTAATTCAACGTACTGCGCAGGGGAGGAGTTGTGAACCAATTAAGACTTAGCTGCCAACTCGACGTTATTAGCGAGGAACCGTATTTCAATTGGTGGTCCTATCATATAATACTAGTCAACCATTAAGGACACAACACATTTATCTCATATTTGCGTTTTTCAAACGGCGTCTTAGCACCTTATATAAATTGTTTCTTTAATACTTTTCATTGTTCGAGAGCATCTATTGAAGCTTTATAAGAATGATTGTACTGTTGAATTAAGCTCTTTCTTTCAATTTTCCATATTTCGAATTTGTTTATCTGTGCATATGTATGTATGTAGATGTTATATATAAACAAGGTTGAAAAGTTTTGAACTTTGAAGAAATAATCACTGTAAGATCATCATTGAAAGCCACTGAAAGCAGTCCACATCTATGATATTACATGTGGGATATGATGTGTTGCTGATGAGGAGTTCTTTACTAAGCTGTTAATTTACCTCCTCCATAGTCGTTCTGAACATTTTGTTGATACAGATATGGTCAATTTGGTTTTGAGTAGTGTGGTCCGGTGAAATCCATGTGGCTTTGTGTATGCGTTTGTGCGGGAATATTGTGCCACCGATGACCAGTTTGTTGAAGGCACATAGGTTTGCAAATCTCTCACCATTTTCGTTCCTTTCTCCCAGTCCATGTCGTCCCATGATGTCTTCATATCCAGTGTTGTCCATTCCAACCTTGGAATTCAGGTCTCCCATAAGATTCGTCAAATCCTTTGGTGAACATTTCTCGACGATTGACTGCAGCCTTTCGTAGAATCGATGTTTAACGTCGTCATTGTAGTCATTAGTAGGTGCATAACATTGGATGACGTTCATTGCAATGTCCTCTTTCTTTGTTTTGGAGGATGCTTTAGTGATCCTTGGTCCATGAGATTCTCATCCTATCAGTGCCTTTTGTGCATGTTTGGACAGCATCAGTGCAACTCCTTGTGTATGTGAAGTATTTTCCTCTTCATGACCAGAGTATAACAGCAGTTCCCCTGAAGTTCTTTACTAACCTGTTAATTTACCTAATTTATACCTTCTCCAATACAATTTCTCGTAAAAAATGATTTCAAAATAAGTTTTTTTTCTCTGATTCGTTTTTAATCATCTGATACGAAGTGAATTTATTCAATTACTATAATGTAAATTTACAATCATATGGTATTAGATTGTATGTAGTACTACAGTACTAGTTACTGACTACTTTTTAGGCTGTTACACGTTCATCCACATGGTTTGTCCCAATTTGTGGACAATACTATAATTGTCATTTATTCTATTCTATGAGTCATTATACTCACTCACATGTCTGTTGATCACGTGACGATAATGATTATTCACTTATGATTGGATAGTGGTGTATGTTTGTGTGTTTTTATATCGCTCACTTCATTGATCTGTTCTGTCTGTGTGAGTATAAATAGAGCTGGTTAGTTAGTTAGTCATGTCTCATCAAATGGAATTGGTCAACTCGGCGTCTTTGATTTTCTGCTACTTCTTCTGATATTCTTAAATGCTATTACGAGTTCAGCTTACTCATTTACCGGAACGAAGATCAACGATAGAGTGAGACGATAGGTTATTCTAATCAGATTGCTCCAAGCTCCGCTAACTAAATCAAGAAGTCTTGATACGGCGTAGAGGATGATGTATTCCACAGGCACAAAGAAATACGAAGTTGCTAAGCCTTCAGCTCAAGCTTATTTATACAATGATAGAAACGCCCTTGAGGGAGTCACAAAATAGCTTGCCAAAATAATCCATCAACCAATGACAGTCCGGGATTTATAACCAGAAACAGGTTTTTTACTTGGCTGTAGCTGTTCAGTATAGCACTTTTGTGGTGATCTCTTAGTTTCTTGAAAGTATCGGAAATAATTGTAAACTAAAAAAATTAACCTATTTGTATTGGTTAGTTAGACGTTATTATTACTGTTTAGGACTACAATTAATCAGTCTAATTGGCATATGTGCATCCTGTGCCGATTTCCGTAATATTGTCATTAGAATACAAGAATTATTAGTAAAGATGGATGGTGCTTGACAGTAAAGTGAGTATCAACATAAAGATGTGACTGACGAGTCCAGGATAGAATGCCACTGCTAGTCATCATCCATCTCTTGTAATATGTACCATTATCTCACATCTGTATGATGTCTTAGCTTTTGCACAAACCAATTAATCTATTCTATCCGAGTCATTGTTCACAAGTTTGTTAATTATATGCGTATAACCTTGATAGTTTCTGTCTGTGCATTCTTTCATTTACCACCATTAAAGCCTATTTTCGCTTGACAATAAGTAGCTTATCAGGTCGAATTGCCCACTTATTTACATGTCTACATTTAGTACCTCAGCTGGAATTTTCCGCCACAATTGATTTCTTTGATAGCCATGCTGATCTCTTCAGTTGTTGATGGGTCAACATCATTTCAGAGGTATGTAGTAGCTGCTTCGATGTTGGGTGGGTTTAGTGGGACTGGTCTTCAAAGTGATCCACCTACCTGTTTCGCTTTTCTCCAAAGTCGGCGACAACCTTGTCTTCCTTGCTTTTCACTGGTAGTTTTGCTTTACGATTTTTCACTACGAGTTTCTTCGTTGTGTCATCTAGTTGTTTAATGTTTCCTTCTCTTGCAGCTTCATTTCCTATCATTGCTAGGTCTTCCATAAATTTTCGCTTATCAGATCTGATGCTCTTCTTCATACTCTTGTTTGTTTCTGTGTATTAAGCTTGTGCCTTGGCTTTTTTTGCTCTTGTTCGACTGATGTTGACGGCTGCCTTCTTGTCGCTCCTTTCTTGAATATTTTAATGAGTACCAACAGTGATTTATTCTTTGTTATGGTACTGATGGCCCAGAACCTCCTGACATGTTGAAGTGATTGCCTCTAACTGTCCTTCATGGTATTTCCCTTTCCGTTGAGTAGATCGTGCAAAATCTGGAACCTCTTGCTGAGAGCTACCTAAAATTTTTAAAACGAAAGGCCATATGAAACTTTTGTGATGCTGTTTACTCATTGGTAAAGTGCTTCTTGAGTTTTATTCTCATCTTGACCACCACGAATTGATAATCACAAGCTATGTTAGTTTCTCTCTTGGGTCCTACTTCCTTCACTGTCCTTCTAAACTTGTGTTGTTGATTTGGTTCAGTGTAGTATGATCTAGTGAAACCCATCTAGCCTTGTGCATGAGCTTGTATGTGAATATGGTGCCGCCTACAACCATTTTGTTGAAGGCATATAGATTTGCGAATCTCTCATTATTTACATTCCTTTCTTCCAGTACATGTCGTCTCGTAATAACTTCATATCCGGTTTTGTCCATTCCAACTTTGGCGTTTAGGTCGTTCGTGGGTGTTATTAAGTGTTACTAGGATTTTCTGTTTTTTTTTGGAGATTAAATGTTCTTGCGCAAAACCGAAGGTCCTGAGTTTTATTACCGTGAGAAAGATTCGTGGATACGTATTGCTGATAAGTCCCATATTAGGTAAAAGCCGTTGTCCAGTGATTCTATGTTTTTAAGGCTTGTGCAGCAACACTGATCGATTCATGATTTTGGCAAAAATTTTCTTGGAATACTAATAAATTGGATTGTTAAAAGCTTAAATTATTCCTCTTCTTTTTGTTTATCTGATCAGACTGTTTATTGAGTTGCTATTGGATACGACCTAAATTATCTGTTATATATAAATATACATATATATTTGAATAACAATTTAGAGTGCTATGATATTTTGATTGATGTCACATATTAAATGACTTTCATTTAAACAAATAACACCAATTTATTGATTTAGTTCTTAAGAAAATGGACAGTGTATATCTTAACACATAACTTAAAAATGAGATTTTCAACTAACAGACGAATTATTCAACATGGTTATTGTATTAAAGATGATTTAAATTGGCGACCGCATAATTTAGCATTGAATCCAATTTATTCAAAGTATTAAAACAAATTTTTTGCTTTAAAAAAATAATTTAAATCAATCAATTAATACTACTTATTTTTTTTTTTAATCTAGTTATGGATTAGATTGGTCATCGAAATTACGTTCAATTCAAGCATATCAAGATGAAAGTAGGAAGGATGAAAATTTATGGCCAGAGCATTCAAGTCATTTACGAACATTTTCAAGTGAATTCATAAAATTCAATGTTAAATGGAATAAAATTTTTTTACAGAAATTCATGATCATGGATTAAGTCCAGAATGGTTAATGTATACTAATGGTTATTATACTGGAAAGAAATGTTTATTTAACGGTGTACATCAACGTAGTGTTTATTGTACATCTGAATACATGTTACATTATGGATTTACGCATAAACGGCGAAGTAAGATTTTACTCTTTTATTTGTTTGTACTGAGTATACTTTTTTTCCCCTTAAACGGGAGAATATTTGTATTCCTGGTTGTAAAAATGGGTTTTATAGTGAATGATACGGTGTCATTTGAGTAAATTACTTCAAACGGTAATTGATTCTGGTGTAGTAGTTTTGTTCTGTATGATTTGCTCAAAGAGCTTTCATCGTTTTTTCTGAACAACATCATCAGCACAAACCTCAGGTAGAAGTGAAGTATTCTAGTTTTGCCACGTATGATAATCAGCTTGCCTCATCGAGTTCGGTTGTGATTGGCTATTGTTGAGCTTTAATGTAGTGCTATCTGAATGTTTTTATCATCCTTCATTGATCTGATTATTGATCCTATATTTGTAGACGATTGCTCTAATTGGTTGACGAGTTTGTTGGTTTCTTATTAACTTGAGTGTCAAGCTTCTTAGAATGCCCATATGTTCTTAGTATTCCTTCTATGCAAGATCTCAATATTTTTTTGCATTTGAATGCGGCGTGTTCAAAGTTGCTAATATACATTGATATGTAGCGGATAACATTAGGTTAAAGGTGAACAGACATCAATCAAGATCAAGGTACATTAGATTAGCTGAGAATTACATATGGAGAGACTTGAATACTTCACTCTTGCCTGAATTCTGTGTTGATGATATTGTTCAGGAAAAACAATGAAAGTTTCCATGACAAAACTATGCATCTCAGAGGACAAAACTTGTTCATGCTCGCTCTCAAAAGAGTCATCCTTGTTAATGTCAGTCTTTATTGATGTACCATATTTGGTATGTGCCTTGATAACAGCATGCAGTATAATATGTCACGTTCCTGTTAAAGGAAATAAATACAGAGAGCCAATCAAAAGTGGCTACTGGTTTTCGATCATAGGTGTCTTCGAAGCATTGCTCGTATATCCTGGGACACACGAGTGAGCAATGGTGTTATTAGGAATCGGGTACTAGGTAAGAATGGCAGATCAATAGGTGAAGTGCTGAAACTTCATCAGTTGTGGTGGTTGGGACATGTGTTGCGTATGCCTAACCACCGGCTGCCTCGAAGAGCTTTGTTTTGTAGTGTAGGAACAGGTTGGAAGAAAGTTAGGGGCGGCCAAACCAAAACATGGCAGAAACCCATGAAGTCATTGACGAGTGGACTTAGCCATGTCGGTAACTGTCGACTACCTAGTTGGGGTCCGCGAGATGATAATAATCGATGGTTAGAGACCTTGAATGACATGGCTCAAAATCGTTCGCAATGGCGCCGGTGCATTTATTCTTTGTGTTCTCTCAAATCCTAATCTTCTGGGTTCTTCAACTCCCCTACTTTTGACTTTCTAAACTTTTCTCACTGAATCATACTTCGTGAATAATATCTTTCAATCCTAACCTCTCCGATTACTTCTAATACCTTTACTACCTCTTCTACTATTGGATTTGAATTGACAATTATATCTCTGTGCTGATGTGGTATGGCAACATCAACTGATGTACTTACGTACGAAGTTCTACGTTGCAACTGACTGACTGACTAACTAACAAAATTCTATAACACTCAAGTATTTTTGTCAGCATGTTTGAAATCTGAACGTGAAACACGTCAAACCTAGAAATTGGCCACTTGAAAAAAAAGGCATGAGTAAAAGAGACAGTCTATTTGGCTATCGGATATGTACAGATATTCGTCTACATCTATACATTTATACATTCCAGCCTTTCGGAAATCGAATCTTTATTTTTTGACCAGTTAGGTGCATACATTGTTTAAGACATTGCTGATAGTCATCAAATGACCTTCTTATTCGGCCACTTTTGATTGGCTCTCTGTATTTATTTCCTTTAACAGGAACGTGACATATTATACTATATGCTCTTATCAAGGCACAAACCAAATAGTGTACATCAATAAAGACTGACATTAACAAGGATGACTCTTATGAGAGAGCGAGCATGAACAAGTTTTGTCCTCTGAGATGCATAGTTTTGTCATGGAAACTTTCATTGTTTTTCCTGAACAATATCATCAACACAGAATTCAGGCAAGAGTGAAGTATTCAAGTCTCTCCATATGTAATTCTCAGCTAATCTAATGTACCTTGATCTTGATTGATGTCTGTTCACCTTTAACATAATGTTATCTGCCTTATATCAATGTATATTAGCAACTTTGAACACGTATTCAGTTGGAAAAAATATTGAGATCTTTTGCATAGAAGGAATACTAAGAACATATGGGCATTATTAGAAGCTTGGCATTGAAATCAATCAGCAACCAATAAACTTATCGAAATCGATCCAATCTATCAACCAATTAGAGCAATCGTCTACAAATACAGGATCAGTCAGTCAGATGTAACGTAGAACTTCGTACGTAAGTACATCAGTTGATGTTGCCATACCACATCAGCACAGAGATATAATTGTCAATTCAAATCCAATAGTAGAAGAGGTAGTAAAGGTATTAGAAGTAATCGGAGAGGTTAGGATTGAAAGATATTATTCACGAAGTATGATTCAGTGAGAAAAGTTTAGAAAGTCAAAAGTAGGGGAGTTGAAGAACCCAGAAGATTAGGATTTGAGAGAACACAGAGAATAAATGCACCGGCGCCATTGCGAACGATTTTGAGCCATGTCATTCAAGGTCTCTAACCATCGATTATTATCATCTCGCGGACCCCAACTAGGTAGTCGACAGTTACCGACATGGCTAAGTCCACTCGTCAATGACTTCATGGGTTTCTGCCATGTTTTGGTTTGGCCGCCCCTAACTTTCTTCCAACCTGTTCCTACACTACAAAACAAAGCTCTTCGAGGCAGCCGGTGGTTAGGCATACGCAACACATGTCCCAACCACCACAACTGATGAAGTTTCAGCACTTCACCTATTGATCTGCCATTCTTACCTAGTACCCGATTCCTAATAACACCATTGCTCACTCGTGTGTCCCAGGATATACGAGCAATGCTTCGAAGACACCTATGATCGAAAACCAGTAACCTGCGAATTTCTTCTACTCTCACTGGCCATGTTTCTCAGCCATAAAGTAAGGCGGAGCGAACTATTGCGCAGTACACTCGTCCTTTAGTCAGCAAACGGATATCTCACTTACGCCATAAGTGACGCAGGTTGGCAAAAGCCAATCGAGATTTTTCAGTTTAACTGAAATCATGGATTGATCATAATTGTTAGACTACCATTAGAAATCTGGAAGCACCTGATGGTTGTTTCGTAATAGGACATAACACACAAATGCACACTAATGATGAGTCCCACACTAGGACGAAATAGCTATTCAGCGCTTTCAGGTTTCTAATGGCGGTCTAGCAATGACTTAATCATTATTTCAATAAAACTCAATAATCTTCATAACTCTATGATTAAAATCACAAAAATTTGATCACTAGTAACTGGCTTTGTAAGGAAATTCTCGCAGTCCTTGTGAGAAGCCGAGTCCAGTGGATTCCAACTCTGTTGGTTGTAGGTAGTTATCCATAGAAGACTATGCGTGAAGTTGAGCAATATTGTGGATTGATTTAGGTAACATCGTTGAATGTCAGCTCAGTGGTCTTAACATTAGGCGTTCGCACGCTGAACTCAAGCTCCTGGGTTCAGTTTCCATGAGTGGGTGTCGTGGATGCACCCTACGGATGAGTCCCATACTAGGACGAAACGGCCGTCCAGTTTTCTCATGGTGGTCTAACAATGATTGATTTATGATTTGTAAAATCCTTTTACAGACAGTCAAATTATTTTCGTTCACTACTAAAATTATTTTAAATAGTATTTATCGTTTTCTGTCGTAACAGTACAGTCAGTCAGTCAGATGCGACGTAGAACTTAGTACGTAGGTACATCAGTTCATGTCGCCATACCACATCAGCACAGAGATATAATTGTCAATTCAAATCCAATAGTAGAAGGGTAGTAAAGGTATTAGAAGTAATCGGAGAGGTTAGGATTGAAAGATATTATTCACGAAGTATGATTCAGTGAGAAAAGTTTAGAAAGTCAAAAGTAGGGGAGGTGAAGAACCCAGAAGATTAGGATTTGAGAGAACACAAAGAATAAATGCACCGGCGCCATTGCGAACGATTTTGAGCCATGTCATTCAAGGTCTCTAACCATCGATTATTATCATCTCGGGGACCCCAACCAGGTAGTCAACAATTACCGACATGGCTAAGTCCATTCGTCTATGATTTCATGGGTTTCTGCCATGTTTTGGTCTGGCCGCCATAACAGTACAATCAGTAAATGAAATAATGCAACGGTTAAATTTCCCAAATTAAGCCTCTGTTGAGAGATGGAGGTTGAGTGACGTCATGGTATTTTAAACAATGAATAATGATTCCAAGTTTTATTGTAAATATTGACACAAATTTAGGTTAATCTAGCTAGCGAGTCCCGATTAGGACGAAATATGTATCCTATATTCAGGTCTCAACTACAGAATAAAATATAACTTGTATAGATGATATTTCTTGAACATAATATAAGCTATTTATCAAATTGAGAAAAATTGATGAATATTTTTAGTTGAAATCAGGAACTTATATTCTCTAGATCACCAGTAACCTGGAAGCACTATACAGTCGTTTCGTTCTAGTATGAGACTACTCCGTAGTGTACATCCTCGATCTCTTCATGCGATAGTCGAACCCACGACCTTTGCTTTCTCACTAAGACACCTAATCTCTTCACTACTGAGTTGGCATCCAATAATATTAATGTCTAACTTCAATAAATTTATAAATCTGCACAAACTTCATTCACTGGTAAGATCAGTTCGTTATTTTTTAACTTTGAAAATACTACAATCTCCACAATTCACCTTGCATTAATAACTGATTACGACTAAAAATCGATGGTCATATACAACCAAGTGACAATGTAAAAATCACAATCTGAACTTATCTCAACTCATTTACTTTATTATTAGGTGATATTATTGAACAACAGTATGATTATTTGAATACAAGAAGACCAGGAGATAAAAGTTATAGATGTGTTGAACATTCACCAGATTTTTATAAAATTGATTCCACTGTTCCAAAAGTTCAATTTGGGTAAGTTTATTGAAAGATGAAATTATTTTTATTTTTAGTTTTAAAAGAAAAAAAAATAAAGATTGAACATAAAGATCTAATCATTTTTTTTGCACGCGGTTAAATTAAACCAACTTCTATATTCGAAGTTTTATAAGACACTGTTTCGTGTTTATCTTTTAAACAGGATGAAAAAAACTCGAGTATCTGATATATCGTTTACAGAGATAATGATACTATTTATCAGTATATATTTTAAACATCATTTAGCCCACTGACGACGTAGGCTGAGGTATTGAGGATTACAAGCTTTTAACTGAGTGTACTCTACAAAAAAAGCCTGATAGTCATGAATATTATTTTTGAAAGATTTGTGAGTACAGCGCTATACAGTAACATCATATACCCCAACGAAGCATCAGCTATTCAACATTCGCTAATTTACCCAAAAGCAGTGGTATTGTAGTGAAGAAGAACACAGGTGGGGCAACCGAATTGTATTCAGCGAAAATTACAGAGTTACTCAGTAAAATAGGAAAACCATATCGTAAATCGTTAATTTGCAAAATATCAGTTCATCATATCGAACTGGACTGTTCCTGTTGCCAAACATCAATCCATTGTCACTATTCATACGTTTCATACAAATTCCATTGTTTTCCCACTCTTCGTTTCTTGATCTTCCCTCATCTTCTGCTGCCAGACATTACGTTGACACTCACGTCATATACTACTTATAAGTAGCTCGAACCACGGTATCCATTTCAGTTGGAAATTAATTTTCAATCAAATTGATACCTCTATGAAACTTCTAGGCTAATCAAATATGAAATAACAAGATTTTATGTTTTACTGACCGTGAACATGATGAAGATAACGACGGGATCCCGAAATGGCAAAATAATTAAACCATGCTGTTGAATCCTCAGATGACCTTGTAAAACAAGCTGGAGAATAAATCAGTGACAGTCAAGGTCAAACGTAATATGAACAAAAACGAATAATTTGATTGGAGGAAATATAATCCAATAAGCTGTGACTTGACAATGATTGAATATTGAATTTAAGAAAATAAATTTTCATTAATAATTCACTTCCATGTTATGGTTAATGTATTGAGACGAAATTATTATGACTCAATAAGTTTTTTATCGAATTTCTAGCTAGTGTTAGAGATACATAACATAGTGACGTTTTTTACTGGAATGAAACACCTCACACAGGAATTTCTTGCTGACTATAGTTTCTTTGCGTAAAAGTCAATTCAGGATATGGAACAGTCTTTGAAATAATACAGTCTTCAAAATTCTTTTATTGCATCAATAAAATGCAACTGTTTCCTCATAGTTATAAGCAGAAATGAATAATGGCTAGAAGTGGAATATAGTAGGCCTGCACGTAAACACGTCATTTTGATATGCTTGAACACTTACGAGTTTACTTAGTCGGAAAACGAGAGCGAGGATCGAGGATCTGGCTTCACGACATGCTACTCAAATCCGATTATCCCAACTCCCATATTTAGTAGAAGAAGACAAGACTTGATATGAAGTAGAACCTGTATTCTACAAGCACCTTGAAAACACGAGGTCCGAATCCAGAAGAGAACCAGGATCCCAGACTAGGGATCCGGGACCGAGCTCTGGTCCTGGTCACAAAATGTTACAGATAATGCGTATTTATACATTTTGGTCGAGTAGGAAACAGCATCAGATTCTGTGACATTGGCAATTAAGACGACCAATAAGAAACAACATTTGAAGTGACATTGAAATTCAGGATGACCAATAAGAAATAACATTGGAGCACGTGACATTGATATCTAGGATGACCATAAAACTGACCAGTAGGAATTAACCAATAGGATTTGACCTATAATTCTCTTAGGATATTGCATGAATATCCTAACAGTTTCGTCCAATTTAAGACTCGTCAACCGAACTTAACTGTCACTCCGAGACTGAAACCATCCACCGGAAAACACCATCGTGTTATTCACTTAGCTACGGAGTCTAATTTGTTGATCTCATTGAATTCTTGAATATCAATTGAGAGCTTTGAACTACCAATAAAAATATATTAAATTTCAGCCGATTACGTAAGCCAATGGTTATCTGAACTCAGAAGCTAAGTGAATAACACGATAAACTTGGAAGTGAACGGTACTAGGTTCTGTTATATTCAGATGAAAACGTAAATAAATAGAAACTTAATAACCCAGTTTGTAGATTACTTTTGTATATAGTCTAATTGTATAATTACTCAATAGCTAAACTAGATTACCATGTATACAGATTTCCAGTATCTTGAGCCTTTGAATAACTCATTAACTATCTGTAACTGGTTTACTATTCACAGTCTCTCATACTCACAACAACTTTTGGCTTATTCATGCATAGTTCGTGATTTCCATACATTGGTGCGATCTAGTTGTGTGTTTATATAAAAGATGTCTGAATTATAATAACGGGTTTCGGTCTAGTGTTCATTAGTCTTTGTTCTTGCCTCTTCGATTGAGGTTAGTTAGTATTGGGTTATGTTTGAAGCGTAGGGTAGTCAAGTCTTCTATCCTTGTGTGGTGCGCGCTACTTATAAGTAGTATATGACGTGGGTGTCAACGTAATGTCTAGCAGCAGAAGATGGGGGAAGATCAAGAAAGGAAGAGTGGGAACACAATGGAATTTGTATGAAGTGCATGAATAAGTGAAATGTCAGACAATGGATGATGATGGATTGAAGATTTGAAAATTAACCGCGTACGATATGGTTTTCCTATTTTACTGAGTAACTCTGTAATTTTCGTTAAATACAATTCGGTTGCCCTCACCTGTGTTCTCCTTCACTACACTTGTATATCGGTCACTCAAAAGTCGTCTGCATATTAGCGTGACGACAAAACAGGGTCGAGTTTCAAAATAAATATTGACTCAGAGATTTAGCCCGTACACCAAGTTGACCAGCCCCAAATAGGATGAAACACCCATTCTAGATCCCACAGCTAGCTACTATCCATCTCTGTTTATAATACTTTTGATTAGATGATAGTATATCATGACGATTCTCACAGGATGAACATCTACCAAATAAGACTGACTGATCAGCCACAGTCTCTACTATCATTAATCTGTAGAATAAAAAATGTCAATACAAATGTGTTCGTATTATTCTTTTTACAGTTTAATTACACACATGCCAAAACAAATTGATGTTCCACGATTTCCAGTCAGTTCAAAGTAAGCTTGATACATTTAGATATCTTTTATAATTTATCTTTATACTCATTATTTCTAAATAACGTTCATGTATTAACATGAAACTATCAGTAAAAAAAAATGATTTCAGTGTGCAATAAGAATGATCTCCAATAACTCTATAGTGAAAAATCGTACAGTGTGCTAACTAGTGACTACCGTCGTAAGGAAATTCTTGAAGTTCTAATGAGAAGACGTGACCAGTGGAGTTCAAGCCTTTAGGGTGTAGGCAGTAATTACCGAAGACCGTGGGCAAGGTTGTGCGAAATCCTTAGATCGATTCAGAGTTAATCAGTAACACCGTTGGATGCCGGCACAATGGTCCAGAAGTGAGTAATTCTGGGTTCGATTCTTGCGAGTAGCGGGAGTCGCGAATGATCACTGCCAATGAGTCCCACACCAGGAAGGAACAGCCTCCCAGGTTCCTAATGTTGATCTTACAATGATCCATTCATGATTTCAATGTTTTATTACAACGATCTCAATAAAACTATAATACAAGAGAAAATGAGTATTATACGTCGTTGTATGTAAGTTTGTATGAGGTTCTTAATAAAATTCTAAACTATTTCTATTGGTTGTTTTGATTCTTCCCATTGATAACTAAGATTGCAACTGATCAATTTTATTTGATAAATGTGCATTGCTTCAATATCCTCATTAATTCCCAAGCGATCAAGCGATGGCATTTTGGATAAAGTGTAAGGAGTTCGAGTCCTGGAGAGAACATCAACCTAGGAATGTGGCAAGTGTATACCAAGATACAAACGAGTTCTAAATAGGAAGAAGCGAGTGTCCTAGACTTTACCGCTAGTCACTATCTACTATCTTGGAGAATAATATTTTTGACCTAGTATGTGCCAGTCCTAAGTGAAGATAAAGGAGGAGGGTCAAGCATAGGATTAACGACCTCATCTCTTAGAAAACCAATAGTTATTGGGTAGAAATGAAAAGGAAGGTTCAGGACAGAGTGGGTTCGAGAATTCTCGTCGGCGGCCTATGTTCCATTAAGGGTAAAAGGCGTAATATATATATATATATATATATATATATATATATATATATATGTATATATGATACTCTGGGTGATGTGCATAAATGGAGCCTTTTGGGAGTTGTGATGGCGACTACCACTTCGTGGTCCCGCCAGAATCGTGGCAGTGGTGACATCGTTCCAGCTAAAGTCGCTCCGAACGCCTAGAATGCCGTGCCTAGCATGTTCCAGAATAATGGTGCATATTCATGGTGTCGAGGCCGTGGATACGAGTTTACCACTCTGAGGGGTTAGGACTGAACGCCTGTAGGTCTCAATCCCATTCCCTTTTAGCGTAGGTAAATTGAAATAATGGTTTGAGGACTTTTCCTGGTGGTAGCAGATACCTTGAATGGGATGTAGTCTTCCAGCTTTCTTGAAGGCGGAATAAGACGATTTTTTTGATGAAACAGCAGTAAAGATCCTGGACTATTGACGCCGACCCTGTGTGGTCGTCCTGAACACTCTGCATCTCGGTGTAGTGTGTCATCTGGCGTCGAGGCCCCTTAAACAAGGGTCTCCATCTAGGTTATGGGATCCTGTGCTGGATGGGTACCTGATCGCAAATGATGTCTGCGCACTTATGTAGTGGGATTAACTTTGCTTGGCTGAGTGCTTTTAATTTGTCGATTTCATGACATGGAAGGGTGTACGTTCTGGCTGACGTTGTGGGACAGACTCGACCTTTGGCTTCATGTAGGGTCTTGAGGACTCTATCGATTGTATCAGTGAAAGGCAGTTAGAGGCCAGACGGTTGGAACGGCTGCTGGCTAGTGCACTGCTGGGTGGCTCGGTAACCCGTGCAGGGTTCCAGGTCCAGCTGGGCAAACCCGCCTTGCTGCCCATGCCGACTGGAGACTGTGGGTAGTGGACTAGTTGCAGGGATCGAGTTGATTCATAATCGTCCGCGCGGGGATGATTGTTCACGCGTACACTGATCGGATGTCCGACTTGCTTGCAGGACAATTTGGACAACATGTGCGTTCCGGTTTGGGGCAAGGGTGATCATGAACTGGAATTCGTGAGAATCCTTGTGTTGCCTAAAAAGCAGCCGACTTGTTGTTCAACCAAGATATAAACAGAATACTCTGGGTTAACCAGCAGACCCCTGGGTTGTGGATTGGTTGAAGAAATCGAGTTCATTCATAAACGCCTATACAGAGGTACCTGTTCATGTAGCGACTGACCCGATGTCCAACAGACTTGCGAGAGAAATTAGACAACATGTACGTACCCTTGGGTGAAAGGGAACATGTGTATCAGAATCCTTGTAAACGTTTGTGTTGTGTAGGAGTAGCATGCGCGCATCTACTGCGGGTCTACTGGTTGACCTATAATATATATATATATATATATATTCATTATAGGGGTTGTGAAGATTGGTAAGTTACACATTTTTGAAACCATGAATCGATCAATGTTAGACCACCATTAGAAACCTGGAAGCAGTGGACGACCGTTTCGTCCTGGTATGGGAATCCTCAGCAGTGCGCATCCACGACTCCTGCATCCCGCAGGATTCGAACCCAGGACCTTCGTTATTGTGCGCAGACGCCCTAACCGTTAGACCACTGAGCCGGTATCCAACGGTGTTAATGTCTAAATTGATCAAATTCACGGAGTTACGCAACCTCATATACAGTCTTCGGTAGACACTGCCTACACCCGAACAGGTTGAACTTCACTGGTCACGTCTTCCCACTAGAACTCGGGTTCGAATCCTGCGGGATGCAGGAGTCGTGGATGCGCACTGCTGAAGAGTCCCATACCAGGACGAAACGGTCGTCCACTGCTTCCAGGTTTCTAATGGTGGTCTAACATTTTCGATTCATGGTTTCAAATATATATATATATATATATATATATATATATATATAATTATGATGAGTTAATTCTGGCCCTAAATATTGATTTCTTTTTATCCTCTATCAAAAAAAGCATACAACCAACTGAAAATGAACTTGATGAAGATTTAATGTTAATACGTAAAGAAATACAAGAATTAGATGAATGGAAACCAGCGCCAACTTTAACTGAAACAATATCATCAGTGAAATTTTCAAAGAAATAATACCTTTTTTTCACGAAAATACGAACGAAGAAGAAGAATTCTAATGACTTGAAACTATGTATATAATTGCATTGTATTTGAGTAGTGTTTTGAAAAACAAAAATACTGAATACCTAGAAAATGAAATTTGACAAATGTTTAAACTTACTACTTATTTAGTGTCATACATAAGTAGTTTAGAGAGGTAGATTATTCAAATAAACAATAACTAACACTAATTAATAGAATTGAGTTTACGATGTTTTCTAGGAAAGGACTCACAGAAAGACTTTGATTTTCATGCATGGGATAACATTGTAGACAGTGACTACCAATGGGATGCAGGGTTCGTTTTTATTGGCCTACTTAGAACTCGTTAGTTAGATAGACCTGGATTTCAACGTTGTTATTGGAAATCAATGTACGTTGACCTATAGGGCAATAGGTTATGAACGTGAGAATGAAAAGCGGATAAGAGTTATTAAGAGGTATATGAAGGATTTGATTGTGAGCAAGTTGGTCTTCTGGTATGTTGTTACGGGTATGAGGATGGCTATCACTTCCTGGCTGTCCACAATATTGAAGTTTCTTTATTGAGAAACCTTTGGTTGAGTGTTGACCTTAGTGATCTTGAATTGTGACCACAGTGCCCAAAGAACAACTACTTAATGTCAGTGTTAGCTCCGCTTCTCAAAAGGCCTTACGGCTGAAGATAGAAAACCTTGTGGTTAAGGTAAGGTGTGACATTTTTAGTGTCGGCCTTTTCTGACCTCTTCCTTCCTTGTGAGAAAGTAGCATAGATACAGATGCCAGTTGTCCGAGGGAGACACTTTCCTGTTGTCATACTCCTCTACAGCCAGTAGTACGACTTCGTCCTCAGACCTCAAGCTGGTGCTTTTAGTCTTATCGTTTTCCAATCGACTTGCCTGATATGGTAGGACCTAAAGTATCATACGTTCCAGGCAATATATCTCGGCTGATTCATAATAATAGGCAAGCCCAACCACCACGTCCAAGTAGCAGCAACGATCGAGATGGAAAACGGATGCACTGACTTTGAACTTAGTCGGTAGCAATCAAGGATTCAGTAAACGGAACTTTAAAATTCTATTTCCGAACATCAGGTTTTAGAATACTACTGAGAGAATGAATAGCGTACAAATTTATCCCGCCACCTAATCTTGTTCCACTGCTTCAGACGAAAGATTTAGGATGGATTCTCTAAGATCCATCTTGGATGGGTTTGAGAGCTTAAATGATATGCCAATCCTCAAGTATATGAAAAAGAATAACTAGTGAAGAATATAAACAGCATCATAAATTTGATCCGCCAAAACTTACAGGAATAACTTGTGGATATAACTCGGCTACGATTGTTAACTATTTACATCATATAATCTCTAGCGTTCTTTAAATGTCTCATAAGTTATATGGTTTCACACATTCTAATCACGAATGAACCCTTGTCACTAGTGACTAGCTTCGTGAAGAAATTTTCAGAGTTGTAGTGAGAAGATATGACTAGTGCAGTTCAACCCTGTTGCGTGTAAGCAATAGTTACCGACGACAACTGGCAAGGTTGCTCAAAATCCTTAGATTGATCAGAGTTGAACATTAACAACGCCGACTCAGTAGTTCGAAGGTTAAGCATTTACGCGCAAGACCGAAGGTTCTGGGTTAGAATCCTGCGAGTTACAGGAGTTTTGGATGCGTACTGCTGATGAATCCCAAACCAGGACAAAACGACCATCTTTCAGTGCTTCCAGGTTTCTAATACTGATCTAACAATGATTCATTCATTCATGATTTCACCTGTGTTAAAACAACGATCTCCATAATACTATTGTAGTGAAGGAGAACACAGGTGAGGGCAACCAAATTGTATTTAACGAAAATTACAGAGTTACTCAGTAATATAGGAAAACCATATCGTAAACGGTTAATTTGCAAATCTTCAATCCATCATCAATCCATTGTCTGACATTTCACTAATTCATGCGTTTCATACAAATTCCATTGTGTTCCCACTCTTCTTCCTTTCTTGATCTTTCCCCATCTTCTGCTGCCGGACATTACGTTGACACTCGCGTCATATACTACTTATAATTAGCGCGCACCACACTATGATATGCAATTAAATGGTTTTTTATAATATCGAAACAATCATGTTTCCTTCTCAATTCAAACATTGTTAAAATTCAAAATTTTCGATAATTTCCCATTCAATCATATTTTTTTTTGTTCAGTTTTAA